GAATCTTTACAAGGCATTAAATTTTCATACTATGCCCTCACGTAAGTCTCCATTGAAAGAAAGTTCCTGAGCATTAGGCCATATTTATATTCTTGTTATTAGACTGGAACTAGTTTTCAATAGAGGCTCATGCGTGAAATATGATTTTAAAAGAGACATATCGAGAGCCTGATGTTTTTAATTACCATTCTGCCATGTTTTACAACAATCAGTTGGTGGCAATATTGAATGTTAGAAACATCTGAGTTATGCTAGTTTTAACAATGGTAAATAATGAGTGGAATTTTCAGAACCGAGATTTCAGCCATGCCTCCTGTGTATGGTCATTAGGCACCTGTAAACTAAGAGATGATGTTGCGGAAATATAACTTCCCTAAATGTTTCCTCATTTGCATTCACACAACATTATTTTGCAGAAGCAAATTTTGTTTCTAAGAAGTAGAAAAATGTTTTTGAATTATTTCTGAAACATTTGTCTTCTGCAGCAACTCTTTCACAGTTTGCATGCCAGGAAAACTATTTTGAGAAACAGTGTTTCAGCAAGCAACAATACTTTGTTGCCTGCAGAGGCTTTTAATGCATAGTCACTTGAGCTCCTAGTTTTAGTTTGAGCGCACACAATGTTTCTATCAATGGGAATGAAGAATTCCCTTCAACATTTTCACAAAGGGTTTTCTTAAATATCTCACGTCGGTTGTTGTACCCTCTAATGCATCATCCAAGTCTTGCATTAGATCTTCATCCATGGGCTGAAATTCCAATCCACCGAAAAACACTTTCTCATGCTGTTCCGAGTCGTAGTTCTTTTCCAGCAAGTTTATGCCAGGCACAAAGAAGGATGGCAACTTTTCCTGTTGAAGACAGTTTTCAAGGAAATCATAGATGTGTCTTGCCCAAATAACAACTTGGTCTTCAGATGTGTTTTGTATATCCAGGTCAATTTCTTTCAGACAGGATTTATTCACCAATATGAATAGTGCATTTTTTAAAAAGTAACTGGATATAACTTTCTCTGCTGCGACGACATTATCCTCTGGCCATGTAAAATCTGTTTCCATGTCTGTTGGTTCCTCACTGTCACAGTCATGGACCTTCTCAGAAGCACTTGGATTTTCCAACACTGTGTTACTTGGTACAATTTGCGAACACACATAAGGACTTCTCACTGCCTTTGCAAGAATGTATCCCTGGCGAACATGCCCAGGAAGGGACTGGAAGAGTTCAGTTTCAGCCAGAGAGAAGGAAAGACGAAAGTGCTTTTCTCCACTTTTAAAGAACCTTTCTCCGTGCAAGGCCATGACAACATGAACTCCTTTGCTCTTCACCTGGGAGTTAAACAGTGCTGCTTCAGAGACATTTGAGGGCCAAAAGCAGGGAAAGTGCAATGCTGGGACAATATCTACATTAATCACCATGTCCTTGTAAACATGTCCATGCCATTTGAGTGTAATCTTTGTTGCATTAGCTGCCATTAAGCAAACACTTACAGGGACTAGTGTCAAGATATCTTCCCAAATTTCCCTTTCCAGAAAGGCTCTGGTAAGTTGATCACTGAAGTCATTAATCAGTTTCGAACTTCGCAAACTGTTATCTTTGTCCATATATTGCAAAAGTTTGTGATCTGGGAGGCAAAAATCAGGTTTTAAATGTAACTGGCAAAACATGGGTGGACTGGAAGCCACATTTGGCTCTTGAAAACACTCGCAAAGTTTCACCATTGTACACATGAAGTCAAACTCCTCGGGAAATCCACATTTGGTCCCTTCGCTCACACTGCCTGAAATTTCAGGCTTAAATGTAAACAGAGGGAAGGCTTTGGAAACTTTTCCTGCCACTCGCTCAATAACTTTGCTTACGGCCAACTTGACCTCAGATGCCTCTGCAATTTCAGGTAGTTTGCCAATCACAGGTGACTTCAGTAGCTTCTGAAGTGATCTGTTGGGGTCACTGTTTAAGCAGAAGTCTTCAGATTGCATGTTTTCAACCTCTTCTTGCATCTTGACATGATCACATTCATCGTTTAATGGAAAAACATTAGGTAGGCTTTCTAGTTCAAGATCTCTATTCACCGACTGAAAATAGTTCTGGAAGAGATTAATTAGCTGTACATATCCAAAGTATCTGGCCAATTGAAGTGGTGTTCTGCCAGAGTGATCTGGTTTTGCAGCCAAGCAAGAGTCGCACTTAGTCAATAAACATTTTAATGCTGCTTGATTATTGCTGAAAACAGTGTAGTGAAATACAGTTGCACCACTGTTGTCCTCGCGGTCAACAAGACAGTTGTCATTCTCAATTATTTCCTCTAAATTTGATGTATTTTTCAAAGAACAAGCCAAATGTAAGGGGGCAACTCCATTTCTGTCCTTGATGTTTACATCAGCACCATGGCTTATGATCAACTGCAGGAGAGACCTTTGTCGTAATTCAGCCACAAGGTAATGTAAGAGTGCCCGTCCGAAAAAGTCTTGACTGTTAACGTCGTAGCCTTCGTTTACGAATAGTTTCACGAATTGTGAATGTCTTGATTTCTCTGCATTGTCCCGATCCAAGGGAGAACAGTGTAAGAACCACAACATATGCAAAGGTGTCATTCCAAGAGAATCCTTGCTGTTCACCGAGATTCCAGCTTCTATCAGAAACTGAACAGTTTCTATGTTAGCACCCGATTCAATCGCTTTGTGAAGAAGGTTTTCACCTCTTGAAGATAGTGCTGCACATAAGTCGACGCCGAGGTCGACCAGAACTTGCAACACCTCGATCGCCTCAAGTTGAAACAGTTCAACATTGTTTAGCAACTCGTAAGTGCCATTTAGCATGCGATCAGACTTCTGTAGGGAAAATCCCCAGTCTATGAATGTCTGGCATGCCTTTGTGTTGGCATGGTCTAACGCATGTTGAAATGGTAGTCTGCCAAGACCATCTCTGCAGAACATATCTGCTCCGTGATCCAGAAGAAGTTGGACCATTTTGTACGCCTCCTCGTCGTAATAGTTGACACAATGAAGTGGCGTACTTCCATAGTCATCTCTGCTGTTGGGGTCTTCTCCACCTTTTAAGCAGTTTTCTACAATTTCAAGACTACTATTTAACGTTACTTCGCAGTGTAGTGGATAATCCATTCTTCGAGCCTAACACGATATCACGAAGAGAAGGCTTCCTTGTTTCCAGGGATTTCTCGGTATGTTGCCTAGCTTCCGGGTACAAGAAACTGCGTGGGAAGCGGGAGAGGGGAGGGGAGGGGGCAGCGCGGTGTTGGGGAAGTGCACTTTGGAGCGTATCACCGTTGAAATAGAGCCATTTTTAGTTTATCTGTGACTAAAAATAGAGAAGCGTATAGGCCTGAAACTTCTTGTAAGAAGGGAACCTCTCTTCACATGAAAAATGTGTGAATAAAACCGCTCTGTAATCATAAAGTTTGAGATTTTGTTATGGCTTTCCGGGTGCGAAAACTTTTCAGGAGAAACGGGCCCCAGGACATCTAAACTTAGAACCCACGTTTGCACTAGAAAGAAAAAAAAAATTGCAAAATGGTGTATCGGCTAATTTTACAATAATTCTGCGAAATCGCAGAATGTTATCTTGTTCGGAGAGCCAGCAACTAAAATCAATCAATCACATTGCTCCATTGCCGGTCCAAAGGAGCAATCTGATTCCTTTTCTTTTCGTTCCAGCTCTCTCTCTCTCTCTCTTCTGTTTTGTTTAACATCAGACGTGAGTATACGCCTATTCGGCTTCCAATCAGAATTGCACTCTTTAAGTTTGCGATATTTTTCCAGTCTATGACTGCGGCATTTTTTGCTAATCTCTTATCAACAAAGCTTGCTCGGTTACATTTTCAGGTGAAAAAGTTGCAAACTAAAATGCAAAAATATTGACTATTTTCTTCTAACAATATTTATTTATGGAAGTGCTAAAAAGCCTGATGAGAAAAAAAAACAGTAAAGAGGACGAGCAAACTTTGGCAAAATTAAGTTCGGCTCATCGCCGTTCGCAAGCAAAATGTCAGCTAGTACAAACCAGTTACATCAGAGGAATTAAATTGTTCTTGTTTGCCATATAATAAACATCTTATTAACCGAGCTTAGTCGGTCTGTATGGGAGAATCTTTGACCTCGATAGTGTGTACAGACTTCACTGCGTTCGGTCTGTACTCACGACCTCGGTCAAGATCCTCCAATTAGAATTGCGCGCTTGTAAGTGTGACCATGCTAACATTTGAGCAGAACAAGACTTTCTACAACCTGGCAAAAAAGTTTTCGACACTTTAATAAAAAGTTCAACTGCTAATACAATCATTTAATTTGTACAAAATACAACACTGACATTTTTACGGCGTAAACGTTATTTACACCTTTTAAGGTCATGTATGATACACAAAATGTCTCAAGTTTGATCCACATCTACGGTAAGGTCCACTACGTTCATGGTGGTCTTGGTTGAGTTGCAGCCTCGCAAGCCAGCCACGAACGTGGACGGCTTAGGAACATTGGTCGATGATTCGCGCTTTGTTTGTGTATCTGCGTCCCTGTAATGACAACAAAGAAAACTTTTAAACATCTTTGATACTAATATACCTGTTTTCAAACAATTACTGACTCTCAACCCCACATATAGCCCACAGCAAGTTTTAAGTGGACAAAGCTGCCGGAAAAAAATTAAAGGAATTTTTTTTTCTAGTGTAAAAACCTCGCGCTAGCACATCGCCCGTTAGAATTTACCACGCGCGCGCAAGACAGAAAACCTATCCACGCGCGTCTCCGAGCGCACAATGGCCCCTTGCGAACACAAGTTCAGTGGAACCGATAATTTTATTTTCAACACTATCTATCGGATTACACCGTGAAAAATATTAGTTTCGAGAATCTTTCTTGAAGCAAACATTTCGTCAGTTCTACACCAAATATGTTATAGCGCCTTCAACACCCGCGCGCAGAACCTGTGACGTCATAAAAATTTGCAATTATGACGTCATTGATCGTCATAGCTACAAGTCAGGAACAACAGAAAGCGCTTTATTTTTTCACGTGATCATTTCTCGATGGTTTCCTCAACTAATGCCTGTATGAAATGACATTTACTCTTCGTAAACATTTCTCTGAACAGTCAAACAACCCATCTCAACGCGATAAATTGGGTTTGTAAAGTTCATCAGGTAGGTAGATGAGCAACAAACGTCAAGTCGCAACAAATGCTACCTATTTTACTTTCTTATGCTTATTTTTCAAAAGATGACTTTGCTTTTGATTCGGGCTGGGCAATTCAAGTGAATTTTATGCGGGCTTCGACATCGTAGGAACTGGTATTATATTTGAAGGGTAACGCTTGCATAAAGTTTCGTGCACCTTTCTTTAAGAGAGATGTAAGAATTACACTTGTTTTTCCCTCAAACGGTTAAATTCCACTTTGGCGGACAGCTGTTAGCTCTTTATAAGTGTACGGGAGTACCGACTTGATTGATAAGGTCTGCATTTTAAATAACTTCAAACTTTCTGAGGGTTATAAGTGGTATATAGAAGAAAGACGTTAAAAACTCTCGCAAACAGTTATTCACAATGTGTTATTTTGACGCAAAGATATCGTTAAAACGTTTGTTGTAGCAAAGAGTAGCAAAGAGTAGCAAAGTTGGCCTGCATAGCGTGTGGTTTCGTTGGTCCGCCTTGGCAAAAACAAAACAGAAGGAAATTCGTCGGCGTTCGGAGACTAGGAAAATCGCCAATTACGGAGGCTTGCACGAAGCTAACTGTCGAGTCATCAAGCATAATAACACCAGTTTCTCCGACCACACTACGAATGTATTTTCAGATGCTCAAAAGAGCGACTACAAGTCTTCAGTTCAAAACGCAACTGACGGCCCGCCACTTTGAAACTTGTTGCTATGGTAACTCTAACATGGTAATACTTACTTAGGGAGGTACACTTGGGAGTCATTGTCTCTCCTGAAGTTACTCAAGTTCGTCTGCACTGAATGCGTGAGCCTGGTGCGAAGATTTGCCTACGGAAATAAAAACATGATCTACAGATCAGAGAGCATACGAAGACAGTTTTCAGTAGCTACATACATATTGTGGGAGGCGCGGCGACCTCATGGTTAGTGCGCTCGTCTCCGGATTGAGCGGACCGGTTTCGAGCCATGCCCAGGGACATTGTGTTGTCGTGTTCTTGGGCCAGACACTTAACTTTCACAGTGCTTCTCTGAGACCCTGTTAGGGGTAAATTCCGACAAGAAGACATGGCCTTGAAACGGCGACATGAGTGCTATGAATTGGCGACGAACGACAGACTACCCAGCGAAATAGGGAAAGCGACACCAATGGCAAGATAGACCGACAACGATTTTCGGAACTGAGAATGCAGTGATTGTTTTAAACGTCTGAGTCGAAGTGAAGATGCATTTCCAG